AGCAGCAGCAGCAAACCGTCTGTGCGGTCTAAGTTGGCGGAGGAGGCGAGGCAGGCGATGTGTTGAAATGAGGCGCACAAATTCGCCCTAAAGAGGCGAAAGTCAAAGGGGGTACCTAAAGGAGACAAAAGGAGACAAAAGGAGACAGAAAGGAGACAAAAGGAGACAAAAGGAGATGAAAGGAGATGAAAGGAGGCAGAAGGAGACAGAAGGAGATGAAAGGAGACACAGGGGGATAAGAGGAGACAAAAAGGAGACAAAAAGGAGACAGAAAGGAGACAGAAAGGGGATAAAAGGAGACAAAAAGCGATAAAAAAGACATTTAAAAGACAAGAAGGAGACAACAAGAAATAAAAAGATATAAAAAGAGACAAAAAGGGGTAGAAGAAGAAATAAAAAGATATAAAAAGATATAAAAAGAGACAAAGAGACATAAAAAGAGATAAAAGGAAATTAAAAAGAGAGACAAAAGGAGACATAGAGGAGACAAAAATATATTTAAAAGACAAGAAGGAGACAAAAGGAGACAAAAGGAGACAGTACTATCCTTACCTTGAAACCCATGAACAAAGACAATCAGATGAACGCCTTGATGAGGAGACAGAGACAGCAGAGGAGACAGCGGAAGCAAAGGAGACAGCGGAAGGAAAGGAGACAGAGAAGATGAAAGAGATGAAGAAGTTAAACTCTCGTCTGCGTCTGAAGCAAAAAAAGCAGAAGCTGGCGATACACCCGAGCTGCACCACCGCAGCGCGCACCAACGGTCTCCCTTTTTGTCTCTTTTACTGTCTCCTTTGCTGTCTCCTTTGTTTATTTTGCTGTCTCCTTTGTTTATTTTGCTGTCTCCTTTCTTTCTTCTGTCTCCTTTTTCTTTTTTGTCTCCGTTGTCTCCTTCTGTCTCCTTTTTTATTTCTTCTTCTCCCCAGCAGACGCAATAAGAATCTTCAAACACCACTGGCCACTCCGAGGCGGGGACAGCTCTAAACACAAACACATGCTGCTGCTGCTGCTGCTGTTGCTGCTGCTGCTGCTGTTGCTGCTGCAGCTGCTGTTGCTGCTGCTGTTGCTGCAACAGCGGTGGTAACGGAGGCGAAGGCAGCCGCTGCTGTGGCTTCTCTGAAGGGGGTAACAGGGAGTGTGGGGCAGCTCAGCGGCACTTAGCAGCAGCAGCAACAGCAGCAGCAGCAGCAGCAGCAGCAGCAGCAGATGTAAGGGCCTTACAGTTTATTGTCCAGTACATCAGGCATGCGGCTGTCAAGGAAACGGAGACAAGAGCGCCACTCCTCCTGCAGGAGACAGGAGAGGAGACACCTAAACAAATCAAACGTAAGCATCTGCAGCAGCAGCAACTGCAGAAGCAGCATCTGCAGCAGCAGCAGCAAGAACAACAACGGCAACTGCAGCAAGAACAGCAGAGGCAGCTGCAACCACTGCCGCTGGAGCTGCTTTTATGACGAGTGTCCCTTCGTTTCTGCGCTCAGAACTGCAGCAGCAGCAGCAAGAGGAGCAGCAGCAGCAGCAGCAGCGGGCACAGCAGCAGCGGCGCTGCAGTACTACTACTACCAGCAGCAGCAGCAGCAGCAAGAGCAGAAGCATGTGCGTACAGCGAGTTGCTGCGTTTCTGTGGTAGTCTTCATCAGATTCAGCACCTTCTGCATTTGATGCAGCAGCTGCTGCTGCTGCTGTTGCTGCTGCTGTTGCTGCTGCTGCTGAGGCTGCAGCGCCAGCAGCTGCTGCAGAGCTTTCGTCTCCTCTCTTTGAAACACCGTATCCTCATCTGGAGTCGAGTCTGTCTCCATCTGTTGCCGCTGCTTCTGCTGCTGCTGCTGGCGCTGCTGCTGCTGGCGCTGCTGCTGCTGCTGCTGTTGCTGCTGCTGCTGCAGTGGAGCTGCTGCTGCATCTGCAGCAGCCGGCAGCGTGCGGTGGAGTATGAAAGGAGTAATACCGCGACAGAAGAAAGAAGTCCAAGACAGACGCAAAGACGCTACGAGACCTGCACAGACACCGCAAAGTAGCAGCAGCAGCAGCAGCTGCTGCTGCTGCTGCGGTAGCAGGGATGGTGGTAGCTGTGGAAACTCTAGCAAACGGCAGCAGCAACAGCAGCAGCAGGAGCAGCAGCAACAGGAACAGCAGAAGAAGCTGCAGCGGCAACAGCAGCAGCAACAGCAGCTGCAGCAACAGCAGGAACATGAACAACAGCAGCATCAACAGCAGCAGCAACAGCAACAGCAATGGCGAGCTACCGTCCTGTGCATAGCCCAGGCAGCAGCAAAGGCGCTGCCAGGCAGCAAACAGCTGTCCAGCTAGAATATGCACGTCCTGCAGCAGCAGCAGCAGCAGCAGCAAAAGGGCTGGTCAAACAGGAGGCGGTAGGTGTGTCTCCTTCCCTCTGAGTTCAGGTTCTTAACATGTGGAGACAGCAGCAGGAGCAGCAACAGCAGAACCCGCAAAAGGAAAGACAGCAGCAGCAGCAACAGCAGTACAAGCAACAGCAACAGCAGCAGCAACAGCAGCAGCAGCAGCAACAAGATATCAGCTGCCTCAACCCACTGAGGCCAAAACATCGCATAGTTCTTCGGCGCTGCAGGGGAAGGAGACACGAGACGGCAGCAGCGGCAGCCTCACGGTGATGCTCCTGCTGCTGCCTTTGCTGTTGCTGCTACTGCTGCTGCTGCTGCTCTTGCTGCTGCATATATCTGTCTCCAGGAGAAAGCTTGGAGCTGGCACCTGCACCTCTAGGGTCTGAACGTCATCTTCTGTCCCCTCTGCTGCTGCTGCTGCTGCTGCTGCTGCTGCCTCTGCTGCTGCTGCTGCTGCTGTTGCTGGTTGTGCGTTCGCCGTTGCAGCAGCAGAAGCAACACCAACTTGACTAAGCGGCAGCAAACCTCCTCCAGGCAGCAGCACGTCCTGCTGCTGCAGCAGCGGCGCCAGCAGCAGCTGCATTGGTGGGCTGAGGCAAACCCTACAGACGAAGTCGCAGTATGTAATTAGCTGCAGCAGGGCCTCAAGGAGACACTTGAGGGACACTGCATGCACAGCAGCAGCACACGCAGTCAGATCTGCTGCTGCCTTCAGCTCCTCCACCAACTCCTGCTGCTGCTCCTGCTGCTGCTGCTGCTGCTGCTGCTGTGGGTTTTCGCTCGCCGCGTCAGCGGGATGTTCTTCCAGCATCAGCTGCTGCTGCATGCAGTGCTGCATTGCTGCTGCTGCTGCTGCTGCTGCTGCTGCATCTTCTTCACAGAACCTCGCTCCTGCTGCCAGCAAAAAAGCTTTGATAGAGGAGACAATCTCATGGACCCCACAGGGGGGAGACTCCTTAGAGAGACGCCCCTCAACCCGAGGAGTGCGCAGCAGCTTTGCTCGCTGCTGCCTCTGCTGCTGCTGCTGCTGCTGCTGCTGCTGCTGCCGTTGCTGCTGCTGCTGCTGCTGCTGCTGCTGCTGTTGCTGCTGCTGCTGCTGGAGCTCGTCCTCCGCCTGTGATTGGAGACAGTCCCCATGCATCAGTTCACTTTGCTGCTGCTGCTGTTGCTGCTGCTGGTTAGCAGCAGCAACAGCAGCAGCAGCAGCGCGAGAGCGAGAAATGGCTGCTGCATATATTTTCTCTGCTGCAGTTCTTTGTTCTACTAGAGAAGAAGACAGAGGAGACAGACAAATATCTGCTGCAGGCAGCGAAGGTCTCAGCCGCAAACGTACATCGAGAAGAGAGCAGGAGACAACAAGCTGAGGAGACACCCGAAGGAGACAAACAAAGACAAAAGGAGACGCCAAATAAAGAAACAGCAGACATAAAACAAAGCTAAAAATGCGTTAAAGAGACAGCAGCTAACTGAAGCAGACAGCAGCACACAGCCAACTGAGAAAGGCAGCAACTAAAGGAGACAAAGAGAGACACAGAGACATCAGGAGACAGCAGCAAACAACTAGCAGCAGCACACGGACCAGCAGCAGCGGCACAACCACCAACAGCAGCAGCAGCAGCACAAGCAACAGCAGAACCAGCAGCAACACAAGCAGCAGCAGCAGCACAAGAAACAGTACAAGCACCAGCAGCAGCAGCAGCAGCAGCAGCAGCAGCAGCACAGCAGAGGCCCCACCTCTAGAAGACTGCTGGCGTTTCCTTCAAAGTTAACGGGGACATAAGACGCAACACCTGCAGCAAAAAAAAACAAGCATTCATCCTGCCGCTGGTTTTGCTGCTGTACTTCCTGCTGCTGCTGCTGCAGCTGCTGCAGCAGCTGCTGCTGCGGTAATCGTTATCTCGGCAGCAGCAGCTTTGCTGCTGTTGCCACGAACAATAGCTAGAGACCCACACAGGCAAATCAATTGCTGCGGAAGCAGCAGCAGCAGCAATAGCAGCAGCAACAGAAACAACAGCAGCAGCAAGAAAAGCAACAGCAGCAGCACGACCAACAACAGCACGAACAGCAGCAACGAGAGCAGCAGCAGCAGCAGCAGCAGCAACAGCAACAGCAGCCAGACTAACCTCTTAGGAGGTTTCGCAGAAGCAGCCACCGCCCGGCAACGACGATTGGCTGAGCCTTTGATGCGTTTTGCTGCTGCTGCTGCTGCTGCTTTTGCTGCTGCTGCTGCTGATTCTGCTGTTCATTTTGTCGCCCGTTTGCTGCTGCTGTCGCGCCTTTCTCGCCGACACGCTGCTGCTGCTGCTGCTGCTGCTGGTCTTTTTCTGCCTCATGTGGGTTTGCAGTGCTGTTGTTGTTGTTGGCTGCTTCAGCGGCTTTATCAGCAGCAGCAGCAGCAGTTGCTGCTGCTGCTGCATTAGAAGGCGTGAACAGCAGCAGCAGCTGCAGCACGCATGCAGCAGACTGCAGCGCCGCCAGAGAAGAAAAAGGTAGCTCAAGCCGAAACACCACAACTTGCGACAGCCGTACCTATACATCGCAGCAGCAGCAGCAGCAGCAGCAGCAGCAGCAGCAACAGCAGGAGCAACAGCCGGAGCAGCAGCAGCAGGAGCAGCAGCAGCAAGAACGACAGCAAGAGGTGCACTGTCAGACTTCTTCGCTGTTATCCCTCCTATTCCAGCAGGGTTTAGTGTTTAGGGTTTAGGGTTTAGGGAGTGTTGAGTGTGGGGTTTGAGGTGTACGTGCAGCTGGTTTTGGGCTGACCTGCTGCTCGCAGTATTTAATCGAGAAGGGTTTACAAATGAAGCAGTTTGTTTCTGCATTTGTTTGTCCGCTACCTTCAGAGACAAAGGCATTAGAAATGAAGGCGTCAGCGCGAGGTGTATTTCCTGCTTTCCCTGCTGCTGCTGCTGCTGCTGTTGCTGCTGCTGCTGCTGCTCCTGGTGCTGTTGCTGCAAAGTGCATACACGGGACAGCAGCAACGCCGCCTTCCCATTCTAATGCTGCATTCAGCAGGACAAAAGGAGGGGGTCTCTGCAGCAGAGACACCCCACCACTACGTGCTGCTGCTGCTGTTGTTGCTGCTGTTGCTGCTGCTGTTGCTGCTGCTGCTGCTGTTGCTGTTGCTGCTGCTGTTGTTGCTGCTGTTATTGCTGCTGATTGCGAAGAGCTCGAGGCCTGCCGCTGCGCCGAAGCAGCAGCAGCCCCAACACCAGCAGCTGCCCCAGTAGCAGCAGCAGTAGCAGCAGCAGCAGCAGCAGCAGCAGCAGCACTTCTCTCCGCCTCTGCGTCTGCTGGGTACAGGAATTCTACATTGGGGTGTACGTACACCTGAGACTCAACAGCATAAAGCCCTTGATGAAGCACATCGATATTTCTAAAGGAGCAGAACTGCAGACAAACCTCAAATACTGCATGCAGCGCCATTATCACCACCTGCTGCTGCTGCTGCTGCTGCTGTTGCTGCTGCTGCTGCTGTTGGTCCTAGTGCTGCTGCTGCTGCTGCTGTTGTTGTTGTTGTGGTGCCCCGTTGACTGCTGCTGTCTTCGCTGCTGTTGTGCTGCTGCGTTTTTGCTGCTGCCGTCTTGCGCATTCCCCTGCATGCGCTGTTACAGCAGCAGCAGCAGCAGCAGCAGCAACACCAGCAGCTGCTTCAGGGTCTGTGTGTCTGTTTCGTTTAAATCGTCTGCTGCTGCTGCTGCAGCGGCAGCAGCAATATGCCACTCTGTTGCAGCTGTCTCCTTTTGCTGCACTTCTCTCCTTCACCTGGTATTCTCCTGCTGCCCAAATCAAAAAAGGAGACACCCCAGGGAGTGTTACTTTGCTGCTGCTGCTGCTGTAGTTGTAGCTGCTGCTGCTGCTGCTGTAGCTGCTGCAGCGATAGCAACGGGAAGCTGCAAAATGGGTTCCTCAACAGCGCTACTGCTGCTGGTCCTGCTGCTGCTGCTGCTGCCACCTGCTCCTGCTCTCTCTATTGCTGCTGCTGTAGCTGCTGCTGTACCTGCTGCTATAGCTGCTGCTGTAGCTGCTGCTGTAGCTGCTGCTGCAGTTGCTGCTGTAGCTTCTGCTGCCGTTGCAGCTACACAAATATGCCACCGCTGGTTTCTTACACACTCTGTTGCAGCAGCAGCAGCAGCAGCTGCTGCTGCTGCTGCTGCTGCACAAGAAGATTGCTTAATCTCTAGACAGCTTCCACACAGGGAAACGAGCAGAGGCGAAATGGCAGCTGCTAAGCCCCTTTGAACAGCAGCAGCAGCAGCAGCAGCAGCTGCTGCTGCTGCTGCTGTTGCAGTTGCTGTATCGGCTTTGTTTAACTTGTGGCAGTCCCCTGAAGTGTCCCCTTGAATAACAAAAGGAGACAGAAAGAAATTAAATAAATATAAAATAAAATAAATAAACAAAGAGCAGCAGCAGCGGCGCTGCAACCGACAGTCCAGTGTGTTTGCTGTGTCTTCCTCGCGCTGTTAATAAAAGAGCAATTAGAAGAATAAAATAAATATATTAATTAATTAATTAATTATTTGTTATTATTATTTCATTTAAACAATTGCAAACAAAACAAATATCTACACAGCTACCACAGGGGGGCCCCAAGGTAGTGGACGAGCTGCGGTGTATATACACCTCAGCATGCGGCAGCAAAAATAATTTAATGTATTTGCTGCTAAATAAATTAAATATTTTTTATATATTATCCCTCAGCCTCTGCATGTACACCGTAGCTAGCTGTCTGGCTAGTCAGTTCAAGTGTATGTACACCGCAAGCACTCTATCGACTTCAAAAATGCTGCTGCTACTGCTGCTGCTGCTGCTGCTGCTGCATGCAACTCCCTGCAGTCCCCTTATACTCCTGCCGTTGCTGCATACAACTGCTGCAGCTAGCTACGCCTAACTACGGCTAGCTGCGGCTAACTACTCTAGTTGCAGCTAGCTACAGATAACTACAGCAAGCCCCAGCTAGCTAAGCTAGGTAGAGCTAGCTACAACTAGCTGGAGCTAGCTACGGCTAACGTTGCTGCCCCTGTTACTGCCGCTGCTGCCCCTGTTCTTGGCGCTCCCGCTGCTGCTGCTGCTGGTGCTGCTGCTGCTGCTGCTGCTGCTGCTGCTGGTGCTGCTGCTGGTGCTGCTGCTGCTGCTGCTGCTGCTGCGGTTAGGAGACAAACAATCGATGACTCTAGCTGCGAAGGAAAAGGAGAAGGAAGGCGTCTCCTCGACAGAGACAAATCAACAGCCCTGTACACTCTATTGCACATGCAAATATTATATATATAGATTATATATATACATATCTTTATATTACGTCTATATTAATTAGACAAATCTTGTATATTATTATTAAAGTTATATAATTATTATATATATAATAATATATATTATTATATATTGTATGTGCATGTCCTTGTTGCCGATGCTTGTATATTCACATAAATAGCGATGAACACAAGCATATGCAAATAAAATATATATTATATTATATATTATATATTATATATTATATATTATATATTATATATTATATATTGTATCTTATATATTATATATTATATATATATCTAAATGTATATATACATATGCATATATTTATACAGACACAAATCGTTTATACATTGCATTTGTCTCTCTGTCTCTGTCTCTGTCTCTGTCTCTGTCTTTGTTTGTGTATTTGTCTGTTTATCGCTGTCTTTGTCTTTATACATTTCTCTGTCTCTCTGTAAGTGTTTCTCTCTTACTCTGTGCAAATAATATATATGTATATATATATGTATATATATGTATATATATATATATATATTTATATGTACCTACATACATGTATTTATGTACATATATATATATATACGTATACAGGTGTATATATATATATTATATTTATATATACCTGTACACAAGTACATGTATATATATATATATATATATATATATATTTCCTCCTGTCTCTCTGTGTCTCTGCCTGTACACATGTCTCTCTGTCTCTCTAGCCGTCTTTGTCATTATATACAAATATATAAATATATATTTATATATATGTAAATAGATGTTTATATGCAAGCACGCGTATATGTAAATATATATATATATATATATATGCATATGCATATATATATATATATATATATATATATATATAT